TCATGCTGACAGTATGCACCCTGGATATGATAAAAGTGACACTTTAAAATGGGCATAGTGGTGGTACACACATCTATAGTCCAGCTATTCAGGAGGCTGAGGCAGGAGGACTGCTTGAATCCCCAAGTTTGAGACCCACCTGGGAACCTGGGAAACATAGCAAGACTCTGTCTCAAAAAAAAAAAAAAAAAAAAAAAAAAAAAAAAAAGACAATGCTTGTTGATCTTCCTTTTAACACCCATAACACAGTCTAATCATGAGAAAAATATCAGACAAATTAGAACTCAATGGTATCTTACCAAATACCTGACCAGTACTCCTCAAAACTGTTAAGGTCATCAAAAACAAGGAAAATCTGAGAATCTGTTTCAGATTAAGTAGGCAAGTAAATATAATGTGTAAGTGCTGGGGGTGTAGCTTGGTGGTAGAGCACTTGCCCAGCATGTGACACAAGGCCCTGGGTTCAATCCCTAGCACCACAAAAAAGACAGTTTCAAACAATTGGCAATATTTGAATGTGAGCTATACATTAGTTAATAATGGTAAATTAGTTAACAATGCTAATAATCACTGAATCCGGGCAAAGAGTACATGGGTATTCTTTGTACTGTTTAAAAAAAATTTTAAATTCTTTCAAATAGAATTTTTAAAAATTTTCGGTGGTACAATAGATTGAACCCAGAGCCTTTCCTATGGTAGGCAAGCATCTTACCACTGAACTACATCACCAACCCTCAAACAGAATTTTTTTAACTACTCCAAAGACAAATTTTAAAAAGAAATGCATAGACAAGCCAATTTGGCAAATGCTGATGACAGCTGAATCTGTGGCATTGGGACTGAGGGGTTCATTATGCCATTCTGTTTTGTTGTATGTTTGAGCACTTTGAGCCTCCTCCCTCCCCTAAAAAGCTAAAACACACACAAACTCATACACACAAACCAAACACAGGCACAAATCCTCAGCCTTCCAGACATTCTCTAAATTCCAGGTGCTACTCAGACTATTTACTCCAAACCCTCTTAGCACTTTGCAATAATTACTAGATGTAAAATTGTTGATATTTTTCTAATCCTCTATATGATGTGTTTGCTCCCAAAGATATTGAACATGTTTTCTTACAATGCTTATAAAAAATTATCAATTAATGCTTCATGCAATAGCCTAAAGAGTTTGGATATGAATTTAATTTTTTTACATCAATTTTTTTATGTACCTGCCTGACACTTTGGTGCATGCCTTTAATCCCAGTGCCTCAGGGAGCTGAGGCAGTAAGATTGCAAGTTCAATACCAGCCTCAGCAATTTAGCAAAGCCCTTAGCAACCTGTCTCAAAATCAAAAAATAAAAAGGCCTGGGAATGGAACTCAGTAATAATGTGCCCCTGGGTTCAATCCCTAGTACCAAAAATAAAATAAAATAGATTATGTGCCAGAGAGCATTTTTCAAGCTAGTATTTAATGAATTATTTTTTTAAAAATAATTATTTCCCCTAACTTATCATTTAGGGACAACATACAAGTTTTAAAATACTATATTTGCCCAAATCAGAGATGGTTTAATCCTGATCAAGAAATAGATACTGCAGATCTGAGCAAGGGAATTTTCAAAAGGAAAAGTGCTTCTAATGTCATCATCTATCTAGATTCAATGACCCATATTCAAGATTCAACAACCAATAGAATTCTTTTTTTTTTCCCCCTTTTACTGGGGATCCAGTCCTGGGGGGTGCTCTACCACTGAGCTGCACCTCCAGCCCATTTTATTTTTTATTTTGAAACAAGGTCTCACAAGTTGCTGATGCTGGACTCAAACTTGTGATCATCCTGCCTCAGCCTCCAAAGTCTGGGATTACAAAAATGTGCCATTGCCCCAGGATATATTTACATATTTAAAGAAAGTGAAACTGTTACTTTGTAATGCCAATACAGTCTGAGGGACTGGGGTGAAGTTAGGCTAAAAGCTCTTGCTGCTCCAGAAATATTCAGTCAGATTGGTAGGAAAAAAGCCAGCTTTGAAGGAATATAGAGGAAATTGTTTCAAAAGTTCCATCTTTGAAATCTCTGAAGGTGAGCAAAGCTTTTAAAGAGAAGAGGCAGGGAAGTGAGACCAAAGACAGGAAATGTACATATGCAAATTTTGTTAGCCTGCTGCTACACAGGCCTGAGGAGGGGGCAATCTCCACTTTTAGCTCCGTAGGAGCCTGTCAGGCCACTGGAGGCAGCCCCTCAGTTTCTACTAGCTACATGGGGAAGTTTTTAATTTCAGAGAGGCCCCCCAGATTTAGTCTGTTTCAATACTGGAACAGAAAAAGTGGCATCCCAATATATTAGCCAACTCTAATGTGGGAAATTCTGCTGGTCAAATGATCTGGTTTCTTCAAAAATATATTAAGTCTTGCAAGCAAGTCAACCAAACACAATGAGTGGACCTTGTTTAGATCTGGCATTTGAACAAACTAACTTTAAGTCAAGGAATACTAAAGTCAGATATTTAATATTAATCAAGTTAGTTTCTGTCAAGTACGGTTTAGTACTGTGGTTTTGTTAAAAACAAAAGTCCTGATCTGTTAGATACGTAAATATATATTTATGGGTAACATTAGGTTGCCCAGGATTTGTTTTAAAATACCTGAGTAATGAAAGAATAAATAGGTATCTTTTCAAGTGGTGATTAGGTTCATTGATCTAATCTCTCTACTTTCCTGTGTGTTTGAAAATTTCTTACTAAAAGAACATAGTAAGTTCATAACTTAAATTGAATCTTCCTACTCATTACTGGTGGTCTTCCCCATTTCAATCCATGGCAATTTCATCCTTCCAATTTCTCAGGCCAAAAAACTTGGAAGGCTGTGGCTATGGCTCAGAGATAACACACTTGCCTGGCATGTGTGAGGCACTGGGTTCAATTCTCAGCACCACATATAAATAAATAAAATAAAGGTCTATCAACATCTAAAAATATATTAAAAAACAAACAAACTTTGAATCATCCATGTCTGCTTTCCTTTGGTCACACGCCCAACATCCAATCAACTACCAAGAAATCCAATTTGCTCCTTGTTCAAAATATATTCAAAATTTGGGTAATTTTTACCATCCACCCCAGTCTAAGAAAGCATCACTCCTCTGGAGAAGAAACTCATTAGATCCTTAGTGCAGAGTAAAACCCCAACTCTTCACCAAGTTCAGTTAAATCTATGACATCTAGCTCCATCATCATCTTCCTTTCTTCCGTTTCTTCTCCTCTCCATCCTTCTCTCTATCCAAACTGGCTCCCTCATAGCTCTTTTTGAGAGAGAGAATTTTTTAATATTTTTTTTTAGTTTTTGGCGGACACAACATCTTTGTTTGTATGTGGTACTGAAGATTGAATCCGGGCCGCATGCATGCCAGGTGAGCGCGCTACTGCTTGAGCCATATCCCCAGCCCCCTCATAGCTCTTTAAGCATGACAAGCATACTTCCATCTTTGGGCCTTTGAAGTGATCATTCTCTCTACCTAGGTGTTTCCCTCAGATAGCTAGCTCCATTGCTCACTTTACTTCATTTGAGTGTCTGTTCAAATTCACCATCTAATGTTCAGCTGGGTGATGCATGCCTGCAGTCTCAGTTTCTTAAGAAGTGAGGCCCTTGAGCCCATGAGTTTGAGACCAGTCTGGGGGCAACCTAATGAGAATCATCTCAAACAACAACAATAAACAAAAACAAAGCTAGGACTGGGGATGTAGATTAGCAGTAGAGTGCTTGCCTAGTATGTGCAGGGCCCTAGGTTTGATCACTGGCACTGACAAAAACAATTTACCTTCCAATGAGATCTACCCTGACCACCCAACTTAGCACTCCTCAAACCCCTTTCTTTCCCTGCTTTCTCTCTAGAGCTTTTATCAATTTTTTATTTGTATATCTAATTCATACATATACATTTTTAATATTTATTTTTTAGTTATAGTTGGACACAATATCTTTATTTTTTATTTATCTGGTGCTGAGGATCGAACCCAGTGCTCCACTCATGCTAGGCAAGCGCTCTACCTCTGAGCCATAACACCCCCCCCCCCACCCACATTTTTCTCCTGTTTTGAGATGAGGTCTTGCTGTGTTGCCCAGGTTGGTCTCAACTCCTGGATCCAATTAATCCTCCTGCCTTAGCCTCTGATTAGGGGAACTATAGGCATGTGCTACCAAGTCTGGCTTTAATTCACTTACTTTAATAAATTCCCTATTTTCCCCACTGGAATGGAAACTCTATCTCCACTGTTTTGAACAGGATCTAACATAAAAAAGGAATCAATAAATATAGATTGAATTTAAATGATCTGGATAGCACACAATTGAGGTTATCTCAATTTTTACCATCCACCCCAGTCTAAGAAAGCATCACTCCTCTGTTATTTTTGTTAAAGTGTAAACACAGTAGGCAGTGAAGATGAGGACACCATAAAATTCCTTATAAATGAGCACATCTTACTCATCCTTCATTTCTAAAAAAATAAAATAAAACAAAACAAAACCAAAAAAACCCTGTAATTTAAGGAAGGACAGAAAGGAGTCTCCCTATTTTGGGGATGGAGAAATCAGGGCCCTGAAAGTTTGTCCTAAGTCATTCAATAAGTCAGGTTTAAACTTCCCAATATATGTTCAGTTAAATTATAATTCTAACGGGTCTGCCAAACACCCCTTTTTAAATAGCTACACTCCTAAGGCTACCAGGCTTCCCTAGACACTGAAACTGTGCTAAATATCCAAACTAACATCTGAGATCTCAAAGCAATCCAATTTACTTGTTAAATCTTATTCTTTCCTATTTTAGCTCCACTGGCCTTAGTTTAAAAGTAGGCAACCACATTTGTCTCATCTAGAATGGAGAAAGCCGGAAAGCTAGAGAAGATTCAAACCCCCAAATCAGGATCCTGTGAGTACAGGACCCCAGGGCTTCTGCACCCCGTAGAAGCCAAAGGGTGGGCTGAGCCTCCCAACCCCTTACCCTGGGAGCTCCAAGTAGGGTGAGGCACATTTTTTATTAAAAGAGTTTACAAACAGAATTACAATTAAAAAAAGATATACTGCCCAACCCCCACCCATGGAAGGAATGTGGCCTAAGGGCTAGGAACCCCTCAACAACAGGGGCTGATGGCATTTATCCCCCATAGCCTAGAGCTGAGACAGAAGCCAGTACACCTAAAGCACAATCATGGGAGGATTACAGTAGCTCCAGAAAGGGGGAGATGGGACAAGTGAGGTATATTTCCCTAAAGTCTGGGAGGCACATTCCTGAAGTTCAAGGCACATTATTGGAAAAAGACCCTGGACACAGAGAAGAAAGGAATCTTCTCTGGCACCAGCAGTAACGAAGTTTACTGGCTGAAATCATTCTGAATCTGGGGGAAGGAAAGAGCTTTATACATAAATCTCTCATTTCTCACTCTCAAGTGAATTGGCAGCTTATCACTCTTCTTCAGTCTCTTCAGCTCTCAGTTGAATTGACGGCTTATGCAGGAGAATAAGGAAGACTTGGCAATAGCAGGGCAACAAAGACTGGAGGCTGGATCCCACGAATCTGAGATCATGTGTTGTGGGTTGGCCTCAGGAGATGGATGAGTTTCCTGCAGTGCCTGGCAGAGGCAGGTCTGGGACTGCTATGTGGCAGTAACTGATTCCCCAGAGAGAGCAAGGCTAATTTCTCACTGGCACCCAGGGACACCAGCACCTGTAGGACAGAGAGTAGATGATAGAATAGGATGGGAGGCTTAGAACCAGTTGTGTTTGGGGCACAGGCAGAGGACTCTCATTTAGTCCTACAATGCCCATCCCAAAGGAAGAAAAAGGAGATGGGCTTTTGGGGACTTGGATAGACTGAATGGGGAAACCTTGGAGACAGGAATCATCAGGACTAGGGATTTACTTCCATTCTCTTTGGTTGCAGACCATAAAGCCAAGGGACCAAGGGACCCATCCACTTGTCCCCCAGAAGAGATAATGAATGTAGCAGTGACTGACAGTGAGCAGCAAAGTCTGATTCCCAGCTTTGGATCCAGATCAGTTAGTCCCAAGCTAATCCCTCATTCCCAGCCAAGAAACCTTTTTATTATTTCCTCACATGGATTGCCAGAAACTCCTATAATATCATCACCACCCTGTCAAATTTCTGTTCTGCATGAACTACCCAATGCTATCACACTGAGCTACTATAATTTATGTTATGGTAGGCAGTTGTGAAATTTCCACTGGGTTCCTTATATACTGAAAATGGAGCAGACACAGCAGAATAAAACAGTGGTTTTATTCTGGGCTCTAGGGGCTGGGGTGGTAGCTCAGCAATAGAGCGCTCGCCTAGCACATGCGAGGTCCTAGGTTAGAGCCTTAGTACCACATAAAAAATAAGTAAATAAAATAAAGGCACTGTGTCCAACTACACCTAAAAAATAAATATTAAAAAAAAAAAAGAGTATGGGCTCTGGCAACACATGCCTATAATCCCAGTGGCTCGGGAGGCTGAGGCAGGAGGATCGCAAGTTCAAAGCCAGCCTCAGTAACTTAGTGAGGCCCTAAGCAACTCAGAGAGACCCTGTCTCTAAATAAAATATATAAAAGGGCTGAGGATGGTAGCTCAGTTGCAGAGTGCCCCTGGGTTCAACCTGCAAAAAAAAAAAAAAAAAGAGTATGGGCTCTGGACCCAGACTTCTGAGGTCACAAGCCCAACCCTACCTGCTGGCTCTGTAACTTGGAAAAATTACTAAATTATTTGTGCCTCAGTTTCCTCCCCTGCAAAATGAGGATAATAATAACTTAAACCAGTCAACAAAGGAAAAATGCTTAGCATGCTTAGCATGCTACTAAAAAGATAGTTGGTATCTTCATGGCCTCAACATCTTCTTATCTTCTCCCTCCACCCAAGCCTCTGGAAGAGATAAGCTGTGGACCTTGAGATCTCAGGCATGTCCTAGCCCAGTGAAGCCCCCTTCTAGCTCCTTTCCCTTCTCAAGAGTGTGAGATGGTAAATGGAAAACTCATCTCCAAGGCTTTGTCCCTGGGTTTCAGGCATCCTTGGAGTAATAGCTTAGATTTCTAGATGTCCCAGTTCCTTACAGACTATCTCAGAGAACTGGTGTGAACTATAGAGGCCCTGATCATCATGGCTCAAAAGTCCCCTGGGATGTACCTGATGGATGCAGGGCTCCTGTCGGAGGCTCCGGAGGGCAACGAGGGCAGCCTCCTTCACATTCAGCTGAGGGTCTCCACATGCCATCTCCAGGAGCCGCTGGGGTACTTGGCACTGTAACAACTCCTCCCCCAACCCCTCAGGTCCCAAGTTGCCCAGAGCTGATACGGCATTGCGCCGGATCCCAGCCTGAGGATCTCCAAGCAACTGGGTCATACTGGGCACGGCAGCTGCCAGGGCAGGTCCGAGGGGACCAGCCTGATAGGCTGCATTGCCCACAGCAAAGCTGGCACTGCGCCGCACAGCAGGGTCTTCATCTCCAAGCCCTAGCAGCAGAAGATTAAGCAGTCCAGCCTGGCTCTGTAGTGCTCCACGCAGGGCCATGCTGTGTTGGAGCAAGTGTCCCAGGAGCCCATAAGTACGGGCCCGCACAGAGTTCTCTGGGTGGCCCAGGAGACTTCGCAGGGGCCTATAGGATTCATCAGAGCCAGCCAGGAGCTCTTGGATAAAGGACAAGTGGCTGGGAGACAGTACCCGGGCTGTGTGGGCCAGTAGGGAGAGAAGGTCAGAGGTCAGCAGTGGCAGGTTACTCAGGAGGACAACAGAGAGGAATGGAATGATAGCTCTAGGGGAGGCTGCCACTGTGTTCACAAACTGGTTGAGAGCAGTGGGATCCATGAGGGCCAGGCGTGTAAGGAGGCTGATGGGCAGCTCGACTTGTGACAACGGAAGATAGTGGCAGCAGACCTGGGGGAGTGGGGAGAGTGGGAAAAAGGAGCTCAACGTGAGGGAGAAGTACACCACACCTAGGAAGTAGGGACCCAAAAGCTGGGGGAGAGAAAAGCCAAGCTGAAGAGAGAATGAAGCTTAAGTCCTGACCCATGGCATACCACATGGAACTCAGGTGGAGCCCAAAGGGCAGGTTCTTTCCAAGAACACGCCCCTTGCTCTCTAAGGACTGGGTCTCTGCATCCAAAGACCTATGGGGGTAATGCCAAAAACTGCCAGGGAATGGGTTCCAGGTCAAGAAGCTGAGCCCCTAGTGTCTGGACTAGGATGATTGCCCCACTGAACCAGATGAGAGAATGTCAGAGAGAAGAAAATACTAGCCCAGCTCCAACCATATGCCTCTCTTCAGGCCTGAGTCTCTCCTCAGTTCCAACTCTTAGGTCAAGCCTGGAGAACCCTGGACCTATTGGGAAGTGAATTAGAGAACACAAGACTGGCCATATTCCTGCCCCATCTTCACACCTGGTAGCTTCCCAAATACCTGCAGCAGGTTGGCTGCAACTTCTGAGTCCCTTAGGTCAGCCAGGATACCTACGAGGAGGTCAGCATCCACATCCAGGGCAAAGGGAAAGCAGAGGAGCTGGCAGACAGAGACCGCCACAACAGGCAGAAACTCAGCCCCGTAAGGCCTAAGGAGGAGAGTGTACAATATACTTGGTCTTGCTCACCTATCCTTTATGATACTTCCACCCCACACCTCAAGTTTCCTTCCCCAGCACCCTGTCCCCAACCTCAGCAGCTCCTTAGGTTTCCAGACTAATCCTTATCCCATTTCTGGTCTTGTAACTCAAGCTGTCAGCTCCCTCTCTCCTGCACTCCCAGCCACCACCTCCCTATTGCTAATTCTGGATCTTCTCTCCTCCTTCTTCTACCTCAGACTCACGTCTGACTCAGGTGATGCAAGAAGCTGGGAGAAAGAAGGTGCTTCAGGGTGGACATAAGAAGACTTCCACGCTGGGACAGGTGGCTCAGGCATAACTGGGGCTCCTGAGTAAAGGTGGCCATGGCCAGGCTCAGCAGGGCTGCTATGCCTGAAAACATGGAGAAAGAAGACCTAGTGAAGCAAGCAAGAGACCTTGCTGCCCTTTTCCCCACAGCTCCCAGGACCATCACCTATTCAGTCCCTCTCCATCCTTGAACAGCTCTATTGAAGACTCTGCTGTCTCCCCCATAGCAGCAGCAGCAGCAGCAGCAGCAGTCTCTGTGGTTAACCCAGTTCCAGACTCAATCCACTTGAAGAGGGACCCATACACTGGCCTCATAGAGGAGGCTATGCTAACAGAAAGATACCTTGGGGTGAGATCAGCGTCCAGTCTGGCTCAGGGATGGATGGATCGGACAGTGACAGTTCCTCTTCCTGTGTTCCTACCTCCTCAGGTAGCCTCAGGGCCATGGAGAAGCGGTGCCACAAAATGGTCCACATTTCTGAGCTAGCCACATCCCTGATCAGGCTAGCCTTTCCCTGCTGGAGGTAAAAGTGAAAGAGTGACGGGGGAGGCAGAAGTTAGAAGTCCATTACCTTTTTTCATTCTTGACCCTGATCTAAAAGGAAAGGGAGTCTCAGTCAGGAGGCAGGAGGATCTCAATTCAAGGTCAGCTTCAGCAACTTAGCAAGACCCTGCCTCAAAAAATGAAAATAATAAAAAAGTCTGGGGATGTAGCCCAGCAGCAAAGAACCCCTGGGTTCAACACCCAGTACAAAAAAGAAAAAAAAAAAAAAGAGGGAGAGAGAAATAATTCCTCATCTTCCTGCTTAGCATTTATGTTGTCTTATTTTCCTTTCTTATCACACCTTAACCTCCTGACCTATCAACCCATGTGTGTGTCAGCTAAAAACCAGAGCATTGCCCTATTGGGGCTGGCTTGCACCAAGGCCAAGTGATGCACAGGTCTATAAAATAAAAAGTTTTAAATATCAATAAAACAACAGCCAGGTGTAGTGGTGCACATTTGTAATCCCAGCAATGTGGGAAGTTGAAGCAGAAGGATTACAAGTTCGAGGCCAGCCTCAGCAACAGTGCCAAGACCCTGTCTCCAGATAAAAAAATAAAAAGTATTAGGGATGTAGTTTAGTGGTAAAATGCCCCTGGGTTCAATTCCCAGAACCCAAAACAAAACAAGAAAATTTGTTGTTTTCCCATTGTATCCCCAGGGATACAGCTGAATGGTTTCCTTTAAAGGGCCCTACTGATGGCAAGTGGGGCAATTCTCAGGCTATAGTAGGTATGGTAGTTTGAGAGGAAAGGCAAGTATGTTTGCTTCTTTCTATCCAATGGCTCCCAGAATGCCCAATTTCTCTCTCTTCTTTTCATCCATCCTAAGATACACCTGTACTTGGGTGAGGAGCTGTAGCAGAAGGATGAGGAGGCCATCATAGAACCCACAGCTATCTGGTGGAGTCAGCCGAACCTGTTGGAGAGAGCAAGAAGAATGCAGATCCCTAAAAGGGATGAGTTTGCCCTTAGGCCTGTGCACCCAACCCCCAGTAAGTGGGAAAGTTCTTCCTGAGTCTGGCAGAGTGGGAAGAGTTCTTCTGGATTTAGGAGTCTTGGTCCTGCCTATTCTATTAAGTGTGTGTCATAAATATAGAGTCTGGTAGGGTAAGCAGACAAAAAAGCAACTATAGTTAGAAAGATACTTGCTAAACAAGAGGTTAGGGGCATGGGTAAGAGTGCCTAATGCTGCCTCTTGGGATAGAAAACTGATGGAGTAAATTTTTTATTTATTTATTTTTTAATTTTAGGTAGACACAATATCTTTAATTTACATTTATGTGGTACTGAGGATCAAACCCAGTGCCTCATGCATGCTAGGCGAGAGCTCTACCACTGAGCCACAACTCAGCCCCTGGGTTAAAAATTTTAAAGACAGGTGCAATGGTGCTTGCCTGTAATTCCCGCTCCTCAGGAGGCTGAGGCAGGAGGACTGCAAGGGCAAGGACAGCCTGGGTAACTTAGTGAGACCCTGTCTCAAAATTTAAAAAAAAATTAAAAAGAGCAGTAGTAGAGCACCCCTGAGTTCAATCCCTAGTACCCCACAACCCCCTCAAAAGAAAAGAGTAGGTAGGCCTTAAACTTCACCTCCTGTAACTCTTTTGGTATAGCAGGGTAATAGAGCCCAGAGCTGATACTTGAACTTCCAGCAGCAGGCAACAGAGTCTGGACTTTGTCCCAGAAGCAGTGGGAAGTGACTGATCATGAACATGAGCTCTGCACCAGTAACATTTTTTGTCTCTTTTATTCACTACTATATCCTCAGAGTCTGGAATGGTGCTGAGCACTTGATAGATATCTATGTGTTCAATAAACACTGGTTGAGTGAATGACCACATTTTCCTTTAAGAAAGATCACTCAGGACTGTGGTTGTAGCTCATTGATAGAGTGCTTACCTAGCATATGAGGCACTGGGTTCGATTCTCAGCACCACATAAAAATAAATAAATAAAATAAATGTATTGTGTCCATCTACAACTAAAAAACATAAAATAAAAATAAAAAAGAAAGAAAGCAAGCTCTGGCAGCAGTAAAGTCTGAGAGGAGAGATCCTTTAGGCAAGTGCCAAAGACCAGAAGAGAGATGGTATGAATACAAACTAAGGCAGTGATGGTGCCACGGAGGGAAGGGATCTGTATGTCAATCAGAAGGTAGAATACATGTGAACTGGGGAGCCATTTATAAGGAGAATGATGGGGAAGATGGTTTCCAGGGTCTTGACTCAGGCTCCTGGATGAATGTTAGTGCTATCAGTAATTATATGATTTCTCTGAAGGTCAACTTTATCAAGGAAAAGCAGACGATTATTACTATATTTCCTATGTCTATCTGCCAAGTGTTTTGTGGTAACATGTGAAAAGTGCTTTATAAATTATAAAGAATTCTATATATAACATAAGACAGTAATGTGAATATGAAGTCTACCCTTCTTTTCACAAAATGAGGGAAATATGGATTCCAAAGGGTCTCAAAATGAAGAACAAAAGGCTGGAAAAGGAAGAGGGCAGAAAGGAGACTACAAATGGACTGATTCCTGAAGAATATGTCAGCCCCTTCTCCATCTCAGTTAAGAAAGCAAGAAAAGTAGAGTGGGCTCTGCTGTAGAAGGGGAAGAGAAGAAGCATAAAGAAGGACTCCAGGGCTGGGGCTGGGGCTCAGGGTAGAGCGCTCCCCTAGCATGTGTGGGTTGCTGGGTTAGATCCTCAGCATCACATAAAAATAAAAGTATTGTGTCGAACTACAACTAAAACAAAAATATTTAAAAAAAAAAAAAAAAGGAGGAGGACTCAAACTAGAACATGAACTCCTGGGGGGGCTAAAGCAGATAGGAAACCTTAGAACATGTCAATTGGTATCGTTCCCACCTCTGTCTTTAGAAGCCCTGCATAGGAAATCTGAAGCCCTGACCAGTCTGGGCTGAGAGGGGACTACTATCTGGGGTAAAAGGATGATTCCTTTCCCATTCCTTTGTTTTCTCCAGGCTTGCTGGCATTTCAGTCTTTCACCCAGAATGGTGTCCTAGGATTTGACTCAGAGAAAACAGGTCTGGGCCTTCTCTGGTAGGCCTCACCTCTGCAGGGACAGACAGAGCATGTGCAGCTGCAGTGATCCATTCCCTGGGCTGGAGGTCAAAGGACACCCCTTGCTGACCAAGCTGTCCCAACAGACAGGCTGCTGCACTCTGTAGGAAAGGTAGAGGAAGACTGTCTGAATCTGAATGGTGTAGGATTTGTGTCTCTGTCGTGCTCTAATAGAATGTATCCTGAAAAGGCTGCAAATGGGAGAGGGACTGCCCCGCTCCCAAAAGGGTCATGATGATAGGAGTAGAGGGAGAGGTTGGGGAAGGCTGAAAACTCACCACAAGAGAGACGACGTGTGAGTGGGTAAAGAGAGTAGCAACCTCACTGCCTAGCGTCTCCATTCTGGAACAGGGAGATACATTGAGAGATACAGCATGTTAAAGGTGGCCTTCCCTCTCCCTTGGACTGTGCTCTTCACACAGGCTGTATGTCCACCTCCAAGGCCCTAAGTTGATGGGAATCCAAGTCTGTTCTTTGTGAAGAAAACTTCATTCTCATCCCTTTAGCATAGGCTAAAGTGTGCTATTCTCAATATTCTGTGTCAGGGTTGGCTGTGTGGGCAGAAGACCAGTGGAGAGACCCAACTTTGTGACTCACCCAGAAGGCAGATCTTGGAGTCGAAAAACAAGAAGAGAGAGAAGGTAGAGTGCCACTTCAGTGGACTCTTCCCAATCTGCTACTTTTACCTAAAAGGAAACCCGACCTGTCAGAACCACTTCTGGGTGAGGTAGGATCACTATGATATGCCTACCTGCTTTGGCAGCTTACCTTGCCCTGGACCAACATCAACAGTGACTCCAAGGCCAAGGGCTCTTTCCCTAAAATATGGCACAGTCGCTCACTGATGTGGCAGCAGGAGTACAGAACCTGGAGGAGTGGCAAGGTATCTATCAGTGGGCAGAGCAGCTCAGGCTCCTTGACTGGAAGGCCAAGCTGAAAACCAGGTGAGCCTCTACTGAGCTGGAGCCCTCACTTGGGGTGTTAGGGGACTTTACCCCTTGTTTCTGATAGTCAAACAGGGATGCTTCTCAGTTCTGGAGAGGAATGGCTAACATGGGGTCACCTCAGTTGAACAGATTTAAAGGTAGAATGGAGTCCTCCAAGGGAGACTCATGATCTCTCAGACTCTTTCTCTCAGACCCTGTGTCTGTTTTTCTGTCCTGGGAGTTAAAAAAAAAAATCTGAGATGCTGGAAGTTGTGGGAAGTACCTTGAGAAGGTGTAGGCACAGGATGGGATGCCGCAGGCCAGAGATGAGGGATGGCCTCAGCTGGCTGCTGTCTTCAGTCAGCTGATTTGCCAAATGCCAAGAAACCTGTGGAAACATACTTTAAGACTCAATCCTATTCCCCTTATAGGAATAGGGGAATATAGGAATCAGTCTTCATGGGAATTGGAGAAATGAAAGTCATGTCTTAGTTTGGCCTCAGTATAGGCAGGGCAACAGAAAAACTGAATCCTGAGCCCTTGTGGAAGCATTACCAATGGTTTCCGATCAACTGTCCTACCACCCAGATAGCTGATCATTGAGCTTTCTTCATCACCAGCTGGCCACAGTTTCTGGGATTCTGGCTGTATTGTATTCTATAAGGAGCTCAAACAGGGTGGGTGGGAGTCTGTTTCTGGAAGTCCTCAGCAAGGAGAAGCATAAAAGCTTCTCTTTCTGTCCTTCAAAGAAACTGGAGCCAGTCTTCCCAACTCCTCTGGCAGCGGGGAAGGGAGGAGCAGGAAGCTGCAGCTCAGACCTGTTCTTTGGCATCCCAGCAGCCAGGCAGTCCCACAGGAGCAGTGCATATGGCTGCCAGGGCAGAGGCAATGGCTCCAGGCAGATCCTCACTTTGCTCTCGCAGTGGCTGGCTCACTTGTGGGGCTCCTGTGGAGAAAAGTAAAGGATGTGGAGTAAGGTCTGGTGGCTTCCCTCTTTCAGTTCACAGTTATTTTTTAGTACCTACTAAGGGCTGGCACTATTCTAGGTGATGGCAGTCGGAAGAGCAGAGCTCTATGTAACAAACAAAGAGAACTTCCCCTCCCAACTATGGTCACCTGGGGGTGTGTGGAAAGGGAGCTGTGGAACTGTCAAGCCATGAAGGAGCCCATCCAACACAGCACGCTGCGTGGTCAGCAGGCTGGAGTAAAACACTTTGGAGATGGCCCGGCTGTTCCCATCCATGGTTTCACACAGGACAGTAAAGCACTAAAGGATATAAGGGCAGAAGTAACATCAGAGCATCAGAAAACTGACTGGGCTGAGTGTAAGAACCAAGAGTACCCTGAGAACATGAGGAGAGAGAATACAGATCCAGGGGCAGGTATCTAATGCTAAGGTGTCCTTATACAGAAAATGTACAACTATCCTTCTACCTCCACTCCCTCTTCTTTCTTTCCTGTCTTTGGTTGGAGGTGGAGCCCAAGGCCTCTGGCATGATAAGCACATGCTCTACCACTGAGCCATCCCCAAGTCTCAGCCAATTCTTCTATTTTCTGATCTCTTCCCTACATGATATTTATCAAAGTGTAATCTACAGACCATGAGTAGAATTCCTAGGGATTCCTGGGACCTCCCCCCTCAACCCAATCTTATTGATACAAAATTTTGGGAGGAGGGATAGTTATTTTAAACTCCCCATGCTACTCATTGCACAATGACAGGAGAAGTGGTGAATAAAAAGTGTCACTGCAGGCTGAAATTTAGGTTAGACATTCAAAACTTCCTGACTTGGAAGGGTGAGGGATATGAAATTAGAATTAGAAGATTAGAAAAGTTTGAATGGATTGCTCTCTGGAGGCAGAAATATAGTCCAGATCTATGTTCCTAATTATCAGTTTAAATAAGGACCAGGAGATTGTTTACTTCCCTGCACATGCTCTTCTCAAATTATCTCCTCTGAGATCAGTGAGAACTTAGCTGTTTTCCCATTCAATTCTCTATTCTCTTATCCTGACTGCTAGGGTCCAGGGAGAGAATCCACATAGTTATCTAGTCCTTAGTGTTGGGAAATATTAAAAGATCCATAAGTCTCTCCAAGAAGAAATGTTTCTATTTGTGGTCCCCTAAAATACACCAGTTGTTTGATGCCTCTGGGCCTTTAGAAATTTGCTCTTTCTGTCTAGAATGTTCTCTCTACTTTCCTGCCTCATCCACTGGCAAACTGCTATGTGTTCTTTAAGGCCTAACAGAGATGACTTCCTTCTTCAAGATTTCTTCCATAACCCTCCAAATAATGTTAATGGCATCTTTTCCAGAGCATCTGTATTTTATACAAAGTTCTAAAGTACTTTTCACTCTTCCCTTCTTGACTATTCCTAGTCCCTTAAAGGCAGGGACTCATGAGGCATATGGCATATGGTAGGAGTTAACAAATGTTTGTTTTATTAACTTGCTCTGCCTCTTTATAGTCATAATAAAGGGGATGGGAGAAACACAGAGGAAGACAGGAGAGACAGAAATATGGAGGTGGGATCAGATTACCATGAGGCTGTCCCTCCTCAATGTCTGCTCAGAGTCATCTGACTGAGATAGCAGTTTCCCCAACAGGTCCAGAAAGATATTGGCAGCCTTCTGAAACACCTGTAGGCTGGGAAAAAAATGAACCCATAGTTTCTTCTCATCCTTTTACTAAAAGCCCCAATGTGATGAATGGGTCAGATCTGGCTGATAGGAGAATCTCTACAAAGAAACACAACAGAATGTTCTCCTGTCTCCCCCAATAAACACACACACACACACACACACACACACACACACAGCCTCCAAGCCCCTTTTCTGCCATTTTCACATCTTGATCTTTCCACTTAGTGGCCATGGTGACTGCTGACTCTTAGAACCTGAAAGTCTTGGGGTGAAGCTAGAGATGCTTGAAGGTCCTTAAGAGGACAGCTTAACTCTGAGGGCCACTTAGCTCTGTCACAAATCACAACTTCTTTTCACTTGGCATCTTCCTAATTTGCAGGGGAAGAAATGGAGTTGAAACTGAAGCCAAACTGGTCAGCAGAGCAAAAGTGCATTTTATCCCACCTGTCGCCTGTCTGGCTCCTCTCCAGATTGAAGGCACAGGCAAAATAGGCCTGAATCACAGCCATTAGGTCCCGTAAGAAGGCCCCATACCAGGGTTGCTGCCAGGGAAGAGGGAAAAAAAAGAGAGAGTAAGGACAACATGGGGATGGCAGCAAAGAGAAAAAAAAATAGTAAAAAGAAGAGCATACAGAAGAGCCGGGGATGGTGGCGCATGCTTGTAATCCCAGCAGCTCGGGAGGCTGAGGCAGGAGGACCATGAGTTGAAACCAGCCTCAGCAACTTAGTGAGGCCCTAAGTAATTCTACGAGACCCTGTCTCTAAATAAAATACAAAAAAAAAGGCTAGGGATGTGGCTCAGTGGTTAAACCCCTAGATTCACTCTCCAGTACCAAAATAAATGAATAAATAAATAAAAATGGCCTACAGAAATCCAGCCAAAGTGACCAAACAGAAAGGGATGGGGGAGAAGAAGTATGGGCAGAGACAAGATCGAGAGGTGACAAAATGTCAGCCAGTGAGTGGACTATAAACAGCCTGAAATGTGTCTTTTTCAAGTGTAGGAGATTCTATTTAAAAAAAAAAAATTCATAAAAATTCCTTAAAATCCCCCTAAATACTCATCAGCAGAGTACAGCTTGCCAGCTGCCTTAGCCTATGCCTTGTAAACTCTGACTCTGTCCTCTCGGGGTGACATGATGGTCCTCCTATCTTCACAGCTCAGCTGCAGCAGACAGTGTAGGCAAGTAGAGATTTGGCTCCAAATATAGTGCGTCTCAGTCCTAGCTCTTCCACTTATAATTTCTGTGACCATCTATAGATTAGTGACTAAGTATGAGTTAACCTCTGAACTTCAGTACTCTGCCCTCTAAAATCACATTAGTAAAGCCTAGGATCCAATGTTTCAAACCATGGTATTCTAAATATGAAGGAATTATGTATAAAAATCTGGATTTCTACTTGAAAACTTGAAGATATGGCAACATTGGCCCAAATTTTCACATAGCAACAATAGGCTGGAGCAAGGAGAAGATGGTCCATTTAGAGAGGGCGTCTAACCCCATTTGTCAGATTCCCCACCTCTCACATAGTTATACACTTAGCCTACTTCACTGACTGACACTACCTCTCTAGCCCCAGAAGGGCAGAGAATTTGCAATTGATGGTGTGCTAATTAGAAAAAGGAGAAAACAAAATAAAAGGCAGTCAGGGAAAATATAGTTGGAAGCCCAAAGGACAGAATTCCAAGCAAAAGAACCTTCTGTTAGTCTTCAGAAGCTCCTGACCTGGTGCTTACCTGCTGTATACTGTTGCTCTCCTGGCTGTGCCTGAGGAGACTGAGCAGCAGCTCAGGCAGCCCTGCTTCCTGGCAGAAGGAATACAGGGGAACAGAGTCACTGCAGCTGGACAGAAGACTGCTCAGGACCCGGAGTGCAGGGAGGATATGGGAAGCATTCTCCAGGCTGCCTTTCAGGATCTGAGTGACATGATGGAAAGAGATAGCAATTAATAGGCAAATGGATCATAAGAAAAATAAAGAGGGACTGGGGTTGTGGCTCAGTGGTAGAGCGCTTGCCTAGCATGTGTGAGGCACTGGGTTCAATCCTCAGCATCACATTAAAATAAATAAAATAAAGGTATTTTGTCCATCTACAACTAAAATACACACACACACACACACACACACAAGAAAAAGGAGAGTCACAGATACCAAATGTCCCCAAGGAGTTGGCAAAGTAGGCCAAATGTTTGCTTTCCTTTTTTGGAATCTAAAATCCAGGGAAGAAGAGCAAGGAAAGAGGGCGACTGTTCCAAGGAAGAGGACTATAGATAGTCAGGTCACTTGACACAGAACACCCGAGACTAAGGGGCAGGGCAATTCCCCTCAGGATCTATCAGGCCCCATAACAATCCTATCTGCTCCCACTCCACTCTCCAGCCCTTCACACACCACACACATGCACACACCAGCACTTCTGAAAATTAAAAAACAATGAACACAAAACAATGCTACTAAACTTTAAAGAGACTGAAGGTCATTCAACTTCTGGTCAAGAAATCATAAACTATAGCCCACCTACCAAATCTTGCCTAACACTTACTTGTACAGCCTATAAACTTGGGATAGTATTATAATTTTAAATATAAAGGAATAACATTTACAGCTAATGTTTTAGAACATACCATTCACTGTTTTTAAATTTTGGCATTAATTTTCCTGTGCAATCTTTACAATAACCCTGTAAAGTAAATAGAAATATCCCTTCCCCTGGCCCCCACTGGGGATTAAACCCAGGGATGCTCTACCACTGAAGATACATCCCAAGCCTTTAGTTTTTTTATTTTGAGATAGGGTCTCACTAAGTGGCCGAAGCTGACCTCGAACTTTTGATCCTCCTGCCTTGTTCTCCACACCTGGCTAAAACTATCCATTTGTTTTTTAAATTTATGATATATGTGTTATAAATGATTTAGTTATAAATTTATTTATATTATATGAACACATTTATTATTTCTTACGTAGTGCTGAAAATCAAACCCAATGTCTCACAGGTGCTAGGCAAGTGCTCTTCCATCAAGCTACAACTCCAGCCCAAACTATCTATCTTATTATTTTTTATATAAATATTTATTTTTTTAGTTGTAGGTGGACACAATACTTTTATTTTATTTATTTATATGTGGTGCTGAAAATCGAACCCAGGGCCTCACATGTGCTAGGCGAGCGCTCTACAACTGAGCCACAACCCCAGCCCCAAACTATCTATTTTTAAATGAGAAAACTGAAGCTTCTAGATAGATTAAATACATAGTCAAAGATCACACAGTTAATGAGTAGCTGAATTGGAATTCCAACTCAGAGAGCTCAACAGGGGATGGAGGTGTGGCTCAGTGGTAGAATTGCTTGCCTAACCTATACAAAGCCCTAGATTCTTTTTTTAAAATCAACATTATTAAGTCAATGCTGATTTAAAAAAATAAAAAATCCAGCAACCATTCAATAACAGGACAACAATGTGTTATTGCCAAAAATCAAGAGTAAGATGCCAAGGCAATTCAATGAGGGCAGTTTTTTTTGTTTTGGTTTGGTTTTTCTGTTTGTTTTTCAAAAAATCCTTCTAGGATTGGGTATAGACATGCAAAAAGATAAACTTAGATTCTTAACTCACATCATAAATAAAAATTAACTCAAAATGTGTCAGAGAACTTAATGTATGTAAGAGGTAAAATTTATACTCTTAAAAAATAAGTTGAAATCTTTTTAGGAGAAAAACTTCAAGACATTCAGTTTGAAAAGGATTTCTTATAAACAATCAAAAGCATAATAAACAAAAGGAGAAAATTCAACATCTTTGTGATTTGAAAGACATTCTTATAAGATGGCAAAAAAAAAAAAAAAAAAAGACAAACCATACACTGGAGGAAAATATTTGCAAATCACTTATCTGGTAAAAGTCCTATATCCAGAATATATAGCACATTCTTACAACTCCATAAGATAAACAAATCAATTTAAAAAAATTAATGGAGGATTAGAACAGATATTTCACCAAAGATATACAAATGACTAATAAGCACATGAAAAGGTATTCATCATTTATCATTAGTGGAGTGCAAATTAAAACAACAATGAGGTTCTTTACACTTACTAGATTGGGTATAATCAAAAAAGTCAGACAATAATAAATGTTGGCAAACATGGAGAAACTGTGACCCTCACATGCTGCTGGTGGGAATGTAAGATGGTACTGCCACTTTGGAAAATGGTTCAGAAGTTTTTTAAAATGCTAAATAACAAATTTTTACTACATGACAACAATTCCATTGCTAAGTATCTAGCCAAGGGAAACAAAAACATACAGCAGCACACAGCTGGATTAGAATGTTTATAGCAGCAACAACCCAATGTTTTCAAAAAATAAAAACAATCCATCAACTAACTGGTGGGTAGATAAATAAAATGTAATCTATCAATACAATGAAATACTCATACATAATATAAAGCAATGAAATCCTAATACATGCTACATCATGAATAAACTTGAAAGCATCATGCTAAGTGAAAAATGCCAGTCACAATGATCATATACAATTCCAATCATGTGATATGTCCAGAATAAGCAACCTACAAGATAGAAAGCTTAATGGTTGCCTAGGACTGGGAAAAGTGATTAATTGGAAATAGGTATAAGAAATCTTATGGGATGATAAAAGTGTTTTACAATTGGAATATGATGATAGTTTCATAATTTGAAATTGTTATTATTTTGTTACTGGGGAGTGAACCCAGGAGTGCTTTACCACTGAGATATATCTCCAGTCTTTTTTATTTCTTGAGACAGTCTCTCTGAGTTGCTTAGGGCCTTGCTGAATTGCTGAGGCTGGCTGGCTTCAAACTTGCAATCCTTTTGCCTCTGCTGGAATTATTAATTGTATACTAAAAATCAGAAGTCTTGTGGCACATAAATTAGATCTCAATAAATTTGTTGTAAAAAAAAAATTAAAGAAAAGAGAGGGAGGATTGGGGATATAGTTCAGTGGTAGAGCATTTGCGTAGCATGTGTGAGGCCCTGGGTTCAATCCATGGTACCACAAAAAAAAAAAAAAAAAAAGAGGGAAATAAATATAAGCAGCATATTTTGGCGAGTTCCTAGTAAGGGAGAGCACTGTTTCAGATAAGGAAAAAAGGATTTATAAGCGTGAATCCTAACTTTTAATTAAGCAAATGTTAATTAAGCAAAATGTTACCCCCAACAAAGAACTTCATTCTCACTAGTATACCTGTAGTACAAAATATTGCATATTCAATTGTTACAATTTTGTTTTTAAGGCTTGTCCATAAATATTTTGTGGAAATGTGTTTTTCTTCATTATATGAATACTTAAATATTTAATTAAGTTCTTATGAATTTTTTGCCTCTTGGCCCACAATGCCTAAAATATACACCATCAAAAAAAGTTTGTTGATGCCTGCTCTAGATAGTTATTTTTTTTCCTTCAGAAAAGGCCTTCTCTTTCTGTGTTACTAAAGGAGGTTAGTGAGTCTCTTCTATTTATGCAGATAAACTGGAAGAACTGGGGAAGGACAAACTTTCTCCTTTTGATGTTTTTCAATGCTTCCTCTCTGAAAATAGCCCCAAATCCTGCCTACAGTACCCTCTGCCCATTACCTGCCCTCCAATTTCACGCAGCTGATTCTGGATGCGCTGGCAGAAGTCACGATTACACAGCAGGGTGAGAGGGGCCTTCAGCTGAATGGGCACAGGCTCAGTGGTCTCTAGCAGTTGTTGCCATTCATCATCACTTTCTGGCTCCTGGGGAACAAGGGAAGTGGTGGGAGGATGAAAGAGGTCAGAGGAGTGTATAAGTCTCAGGATCATGCTCTCAACTTGGGGCCAGAAATTGGGGGAATCATGAAGTAATTGCAAGCAGCAAGTGCCTCCTTCAATCTCCAGTCATAAAAGGGTATAGTGGGCAGTATGTGAGGGATCTGGAAAAGTCTTTGAGAGCACTGGCAAGTGTGCATAAGAAGATACTAAGAAGCCAGGTATGCTGGCACACACCTGTAATCCCAGCAACATAAAAGGCTGAGGTGGAAGGATCAAGTTTGAGGCCAGCCTTAGTAACTCAACGAGGCCCTCACTCAGCAACTTAGCAAGATCCTGTCCCAAAATAAAAACTGAAAAGGACCCAGTGGTTAAGTACCCCTGAATTCAATCCCTAGTACTAAAACAAAAACAAAACCAGAAAAACAAAAAAATATCTATAAGGATGTCCATGGTTGGTAATGATAAAAAATGAAAACATCATAAACTCAGTCAGTAAATAAACAACCAGGGATCCATCCCTACTAGTGAATACTATGAGGTTATTGAAAAGAATGTAGTACTGAGCATGTATTACTTATGCCAAAAATGCATAACCTGAATCTAATCAAATCTAATGTTTGAGGAACATTCTACAAAATAAATGTACTGTTATTCTTTGGACATGTGTATTGTCCCCAAAGTTCATATAATGGAGGCTTGGGTCCCAGCATGGTGGTACCAGTAGGTAGTGAGACTTTTAAGACATGGGGCCTACTTATAAGGTCTTTATGTCAAGTGGGAAGGGGATATGCCTGCAGAAAGGATTAAGTATTTCTCTCTCTCTCTCTCTCATATATATATATATATATATATATATATATATATATATTTTTTTTTTTTTTTTTTTTTTTTTCTTTTTCTTTTTTGAGGGGGAACCATGCTGGTGATCAAATAGAGGATCCCATGTAAACTAATCAAGTATTTTCCCACTAAGGTATATTCCCAACCTGGAATTAAGTATTTCTTGAGGGACTCTAATTAGTTCTTGAGAGGGAGTTGTTATAAAACCCTGAACCTGGACTCACCCAATCTCTCAGGCTTCCTATTTTGAGGTGTGACACTTCCTCCCACACATACCACCTCCCTGTTGTGATGCCATAAGCCATGAGATCATCACCAGAGCAAAGCCAATGCCAGTATCTTGCCCTTGAATCTCCAAACCTATGAGCTAAATAAACCACTTTTCTTTACACAGTTAGCATGCTCAGGTATTTAGTTATAGTAATGAAAAACAGACTAATACATGTACCTTAAAACTGTCATAAAAAAAACAGAAAACCAAGGAACTGGTCCAGACTAAAGGATACTAATGAGGTATTAACAATTTAATGCAACGTATGATACTGGACTGAATCACAGATCAGAAAAATTTTTAATAAAATACATTACTGGAGCAATTCGCAAAATCAGAATATGGATTGTAGATTAGTCCATTAATCTATTTACTATTATTATAATAACATATCAATATTAAATTTCTTTGTATGGTGGTAGTCAAGTGATTGACCTTATAATGTGTTTAGGGGTGAAGGGCTATATCTGCAACTTACTTCAAAATGATTCAAAAGATGCTATATCCAAACATACATGGAGAGAGAATTGTAAAGCAAATTTGACAAAATTTTGACTGGTGAATCTGGGTATAAGGGGGATTATGGTTTGAATGTCTTTGTCCTCTCCAAAATATTTGTGTTGCTGGCTGTGGTGGTTCATGCCTGTAATCCCAGTGGCTTGGGAAGCTGAGGCAGGAGGATCACAAGTTCAAAGCCAGCTTCAGCAACTTAGCAAGGCCCTAAGCAACTTAGTGAGACCCTGTCTTAAAACAAAAAATAAAAAGGGGCTGGGGTTGTGGCTCAGTGGTAGAATGCTCACCTAGCACGTTCAAGGCCCTGGGTTCAATCCTCAGCACCACATAAAAATAAATAAATAAAATAAAGGTAATACATATACCTTAAAAACTGTCATAAAAAACAAAGAAAACCAAGGAACTGGTCCAGGAATTGTGTCCAATTACAACCCAAAAACAAATATTTTAAAATTAAAAATAAATAAATAAATAAAAATAAAAAGGGCTGGGGATGTAGATCAGTGGTTAAGCACTCATGGGTTCAATTCCTAGTAAAAAACAATAACAACAACATTATATATACACACACATATATATATATGGTTGTGTTAAATTATCCCCCCAAAAATTTGTTGGGAGGTGGGGCCTAATAGAAGGTTTTTAGGTCACAAGGGCTCCACCCCTATAAATGTATTCATGCTGCTATAGAAAAGGTTTGTGGGAGTAGGTTCACTTGATCTCTTCTGTTCGAGCATCCCTCACCTTCAGAGGATGTGGCATTCAAAGTACTATGCTAGAAGGAGAAAGACTGAGCCCTAACCTGCTTACTTTCATCTTAGACTTCCCAGCCTCCACGACTTTAAAAAACACATTTCTGTTCATTATAAATTATCTAGTCTTGGGTGTTCTATTTTGGTTCACAAAATGGGCCAAGATCAGGATGTATGGGAATTCTACATAGTATTCTCACAAGTAATATTTAAGTTGAAATGATTTCAAAATAAAAAATTAGAATCATAAAACACAAAAGACTGAGGTAGAAATATATGCTATGATGTAGAAAAAGCCCTAAAACAAATCAAAGGGTAAAAGAGGCATGATATGAAGCAATACATATAAGATGAACTCAGTAAACAGCCAAACTATTTCCCTTTGTGAACATATGTGAATACAAAGTTAGAAAGTTTAGAAGGACACAGATTAAATTAATAACAGTAGTCACATCTGGAACTGATATAAGAAGGGTTTTTGTTTGGTTGGTTTTGGTTTTTTTAGATGGGGTCTCAGTATACTGCTCAGGCTGGCAATATAGTAGCAACTCCTGGGCCCAAGTGATCCTTCTGCCTTAGCCTTCCAAGTAGATGGAACTATAGGTATGTGCTACCATGCCCAACTTGGCACTTTTGATTTTACCTATGCATTCTCATCTTTGAGAATTACATGTTCAGATACTATTATTAAAATCTATAAATTGATATAAAAGTAATTTTTAACACAAAAGGAGCTCATGCTTAAGAGAATCATTGTTCTAGAAAAATACCCACCTGGGCCCAACATGCCATAGCAGGAATGAGGCCAAGAAGAAACCCTAAGGCTCACCTCATTTTCTAGGTCCACTGCATCAATGCTCCGCTGGCCGACTACCTCTGACCTCAGCTCTGGGAATGCTTGTTCACAACCTGGGGTGATGTGGTTTTCCCTGCCAGAGGTCAGGATGGAAGTAGGATGAGTCCCAAGACTGTGAGGCTCAGAGTTCAGTAACTTGTCCCTCCCTCTAGACCCAGGAAAAAGAATGAGGTATAAGCCATCGAGGGAGATAGAGGAATTTTCCTCAGGTATGGGATATGGCCAGTACAGGATATGTATCTCTACACACAAATCCTTAACTGCTCCCACTTTGGATCTTATACTCAAGTCTACAGTTTTCACCTATGGCTTTCAACTCAAACAATCTGCGTTTTTGGTTGGAAATAACCCTTTCCCTTTCAGTCAAAGAACAAGTGAGAAATGAAGAAGAGAAAATCCTTAAGTTTCCCAACGAGTCAGGAAAGGGTCTATAATTAGAACCCAACAACCCAGGACTCAAATTCTGAAGGACTGGTTTGTATTTAGGCAATGGCTAATGACAGGAATCATTTCAAATTTATTTTAGCTCAAGCCAAAAATCTACAAGATACCTCCTCCCACTACACAAACCCTTAGCTATACAACCCTCACCGAGGTGTAGGAGGGGCCTCTCCAGCCCCCGACTCGGCCCAGCTGTTCTTCATTTCTGAGGCCAAGATCCCAGCCAGGAGGTTTGATTCCTTAGGAGTAGCCCGTAGTCCAGGCAGAGGGACTGTGCTGGGAGTCACCTTGTTGTTCCTGTCCTCTTGCTCAAGGGCAGATTCTGTGTTGTGGTGTTTCTGTGGGAGATGAGTAGGAGATACTGGACCAGAACTGTCTAGATGCTATAGGACGGTATGGATCTTACTCATGGCCTTTCCCAATTTCCTAGAAAGTCAACCTCCTTTTCCAACTCCCCCAATGACTAGCCTGGTTAGTTATATATTTTTACATGTTACATATTTTTCTGTATCTCACATACCTTCTGCTTGGCCTCTTCAGCCATGCGTTTACAGGCCTGACGCAAGATGCGAGACTGACTGCCCTTTGGGGCCAGCCGATGGGCCTGTTCATCTTTTAGAACCTGAAGTTCTGGGGGTAGGTGACTGGTAAATGGGGTACCCGACTCTGAGCCTGCTGGTTCGGTTATTACTGCAGGGAGGGAGCAGGAGAAAACATGATTATACTAGGGCTGTAGACACCATGGTCACTTGGCCAGAGACTACTTCAGTGTCTCCAGGCTTCTATGGAAGGCAGCCATTTGAGACAATAACAAAAAGGGAGCAGGAGTGGCCAAAGTTAGGCAAAGGGCTAGGAAGATAAAGCTCAAGCTGGTGGAGAAATGATAATATGTTGGATCCAGATATTGAGGGCAGAGAGGTAGGTTGGAAAAAATACTTGGAGGTGCCAGAGCCCTGGGAATCCTGATGACTCACTGGTGACACGACCAGCAATAAAGGGGTGATGTAAGAGGTCTGGCCAGGAAAGACGCTGCCGGGGGTCCTTGGTGAGCAGCCCCTGCAAGAAGTTCTGTGGAGAGAAATAATACTCCATCAGCTCTTCCTTCCCTTCCTTCTAGACTCTCTCTAACCTGTCAACAGAACTGGTAATCCCAAACTCCTATTGGTATAACAGACTTGACCACAACCTTGACAACTGTTAATGTGGGCCCCATTTCCAGACAGACTACTGCCTCACCTCCCAGGAAGCACCAATCCCTATTCATGGAGACTTTGTACCCTCAGACATGAGTACAGAATTTCAATGTCACCAACTTTGTGAAGAATGGAGAAACAACTGAGAGGAAGATATCACCTTCACAATCATCTTCAGAAAGCAAACATTCAAGGGAGTCCCAGACTGATGCCTCCCTTTCATTATGGATTTGTTTTGGGCTGCATAGAAATAGATGGATCTATAGTTAAGAAGACGCTCACACAGGAATGGTGTAGAGATGTTTGGGAACACTCCAAAGCAAATCTTTAGATGGATGAGGGGAATAGAGACTATAATTCAAGAAGTATATGTTATGAATTATTGGTGGAAAATCTTCCACTGGGCCAGAAACAAAAAGGTACTAGTAGATTATGACCACTGTTCTAAAACAAGGTGATTTGCATAACTATGGCTTTTGCTAAAGATACCTGCGAATGTGCATAGGAGAGAATGATTATCTTTGTGTACATCTCTTCTATTTGAGGTTTCTTTGTTTAGATTTTTTCTCTAATTATTTGGGTCTCCCCAATTGAACAGGTTGTAAAGAAATTAGTCCCTTTTCATTTTAGATAGAGCATAGGAAAGTTATAATGAGATTTTATTCTAGGATAAAACTGCACTTAAATTCCATTGAGGATCCAAAATCTTGCCCTAGATAAAAAATAAAGAGAGTACAAACCCTTTCCCTCCCCTCCTCCAAAAACCCATTGAGACTTAGCTACCATGAACAGGCACCACCTCTGTCATCTGCCCCTAATCATGGAGCCAGCTCCGACACTGGCCATTCTGATGTCTGAGGAGGACGGGAAGCAACATAGGCAACATCTAAATATCACCTGGACTCTGCATATGATACGAAATAAGTAGAACAGAGGTCATGCAAAATAACCAGTATCTACTTCTTAGGTTTTGAAATTACTTTTTTATTGTGATAAAGCTTATCCTGCCCCAAACAGGGTCTACCGCTCCCAAGTTTGGCAGGCTTTAGAACAACCTCCAGCCTAGCATAAGCCCTTGCAGTAGAAAAGCAAGACTTATTGGCCCAGCTCCTGAAAAATCCTGCTCTAGCTCTGGAAAAAGATTTTGGAAAAGGGAATAGAGGTAGACAGAGACAGTTTTCTGATATAAAATTATTTTCCCTTTCAATTTTCATTACCTTAAAGCAGGGACTGATGGTGGAGGGCCAGCGCACAGGGTCCTTGAGGATGAGGCTAACCAGCTGAAAGATGCTTGTGGTATAGAAGGGAGGAGTGCCTACAGCCAGTTCATACAGAATGCAGCCCACAGACCAGAGGTCTGCTGTGTGGTCATATGGTCGCTCTTCCACCAGCTCTGGAGACATATAGAGTGGTGTGCCTTTGATGGAGGTAAGAACCATAGTGTTGGTGCTCATAGCCCGGGCAAATCTGCAGGAAATGGCATGGAAAGGGAAAAGGAAAAGATATTCTAGACCCGGTCACTAATAGGAAATTAAACCTGCTCACTACTACCTGTCATTGTATGATTTATCTCAAGCTAGAACAGAGAGTACATTTGATTTAGTTCCAAAGGATCCAGCTGGAGGCTCAGTCTCCAGTTCAGGTTCTCAAGGGAAGTTCACGTAAGTTACACATACAGTCTAAGACCCCCTGCAGAACTGGAGACATAGACGGAAGCTCAGAATCCTTACCCAAAGTCACAGAGCTTGATGCCACCACCCTTGGCAAGGAGGATGTTCTGAGGCTTCATGTCTCGGTGTAGGATGCGGTGAGAATGTAGATAGTACAGGGCTGACACCAACTGGGCAGCAATAGCCTGAACCTAGGGTTCAGATAGGCAGGATGAAAAAATAAAAGGTAAGAGGGAAGGGTTGGCTGACAAGCCAAAGACTTTTAATACTGCCACTAATGTGATTTTTTCTTCTTTCCCATTCTCCCAGAGTTTCACACCATACCTTACTTGTTCAAGAAAAAGGGCAGCTTTTGCTTCCCCAGTTAATTCATGCATGTATTCATTCATTCATTCATTCATTCACTCAAGGAAAATGTATTGAACCTCACTTACTCGCTGCATGACCAGGGGCAAATTTTTTTTATGCTTCTCAGATTCATCATCTATAAGGTGAGAATAATGATATCACCTATCTTCTAGATTATTGTGTGGACCAAATGAATAAAAGCGTGTAAAGCACTGCTCAAAATGGTGCCTGGCATTGAGTAAACATTCAACACACATTAGCTATTACTAAATAAGACAGTATCTTTTCTCAAGAGAAGTAGTCACACATAAAAAATAAGAAGAAATGAAAAAGACATTTCAAACAGTGATGAATGCTCAAAAGGAAAAAGAGAACTGTGATAAGTAATTCTGAGGGGGTCCTACAGAATCTGACTGAAGATTTCATTCAACCAAATCCCGTTGCTAACCTCTACATCCTGGTGGCACATCCTGCCTGACCCACAACCCTTATCTCTCACTGCCTTCTCTGGTACCACCACACAGCCCCTTTTTTCTCAAAGATATCCAATAAAAATCTTCACGACATTAACAATAGTTGTTAAAATACTTAATGTGAATTAATTCATTAATCTCCACAATAGTCTTATCAGGTAGATATTATATTACTTCCATTAACTTGTCCAAGGAGATTCAGCTAGTGAGAGGCAGAACCAAGCTTCATACTCAGATATTTTGGTTCCACTGTTCACATACTTAATTCTCATGTCATACTGCCTCTATATGCACACAGACTCTTGTATTCTTCTGGGGAGTTTTCAAAAATGGAGACTCTCCCTGCCCTCTAATTGCCCTCCCAGCCCTTCACTGACAGAGTGGTCAGGGGTGAAGAGAAGTTTTATCCAGGAAACATACCTGGTCTTCAGGGAGTTTTCCATCATCTTCTAGGATCTGAAAAAGCTCTCCCTCAGCATAGTCTGTCACCACCACCACCTGTGGGGAGAAGGCAACGTCACTAATGGAATGCTCATATATTCTGGGGTTAGGAAATTATTGGGACCCTTGGAGAAAGGTGATCCAAAACCATGAAAGCACACCTCTTTGTCAGTCTCAAAGCTGTCAAGCATATGCACAATGTTGGGATGCCTCAGACCCCTCATGATTTCAATCTCTCGTTGTAGATTCCTTAGCTCCTTCTCTGAGCGTCCCAATTTTGGGATGAACTTCAGGGCCACCACCTATCAGTGGTAAAGGGAAGAGTCAAGGCCTAACCATACTACTGAAAAAAAAGCTAGGATTTCAACCTTAACTTCAGAAGTCCAGAACTCAAGACCTTAGACTGAGCAACTCTTATTAGACTGGCTAGTCTCTCACCTCTTACCCCATTGTACGCTGGCCTTACCCAGGCTTTGCCCACCCCTCAACCTAAGAGGAAACAATTTCAGTACCAGAGATTGAACCCAGGGGCACTTAACCATTGAGCCACATCCCCAACCATTTTTTTTATATTTCTATTTAGGTTTCACTAAGTTGCTTAGAGCCTGGATAAGTTGCTGAGGCTGGCTTTGAACTCACCACCCTCCTGCCTCAGCCTCCCCACCCTCTGAGATTGCAGGCATTTCACCACTGCACCCAGTGGAGACATCCTTTGCTAAACAGATTCTATTCATGGATTCTGAGAAAGGTGTTCTGATCTAACCAAAGGACTTCTGTTGAGATTTTAGGGAAAAGTGAAGGCAAAATAAAGATGGAAAAATAGAGTTCAGGTGTTTTGTCTCTTCCTGCAATGGTATGATAGATCAAACTATTCAGAATAATAAACTGGGAGTGGTGGCCCAAAAGTGTAATCCCAGCAATTTGGGGAGGCTGAGGCAGGAGGACAACAAGTTCAAAGCCAGCTTCAGCCACTTAGCAAGGCCCTATGCAACTTAGTGAGACTCTGTCTCAAAATAAAAAATAAAATGGGGGGCTGGGGATATAGCTCAGTTGGTAGAGTGCTTGTCTTGCATGCACAAGGACCTGGGTTCGATCTCCAGCACCACAAATAAAAAATTAAATAAATAAATAAAATTGGCTGGGGATGTGGCTCACAAAAATAAAATAATAATAATTTGTTTTTTCTAGGTACCAAACATTGTACTAAAGGATTTAGTCTAAAAACATATTTAGTCCTCAAACCTCATCAATAAGTTCTTATACCCATTTTATAGATGAGGAAAATGAGACACAGAGGTTAAGTAGTTTGTCCATCGTTTCAAGGCCAGAAAGAGGTAGAGCTGGAATCTGAACCCACATAACCCAACTTTAGTGGCCATACTTCATAAGAAATGTGGCAGTCATTGCCTTAGGAATACAGGTTGGTTTAAACACATTTGGCCCCATATTCCATTGGAGTTGTGGATACCGAATCCCACTGAAAATATATCCCTTTCTTCACCACCTGTGCACTGTATTTTTTCCGACCCTTGTACACTCTCCCAAAAGAGCCTTCTCCAATCATCTCCAACACGTGGTACTTCTCCATAACAAAGGTTTCAGGATCTCTCAGGAAAGAAGGTAGCGATGGTGCTCAAGAGCTACAGATCCAGGGTCACTTTCACACATCTGGGAGGCCTGATTAGGGCACGGGGGAAAGGTAAACGTTAGCCACTTTGCCTTTGCCTTTTTCACACTAATCCGGGCCTCAAAAACACGGTCGGGTGGTGTAGATAGAATAATGGGATCTTGGAACAAACGAAGCATCTTCTTGGGAGTTCCTCCCCGTTTTTTACTCTCCTGTCCCGCAAGCCCAGGGGACTCTGCTGGTTCAAGCCTACCCCAATTTCCTACCTCTCACTCCTAGGTAGCCCGTCCCGGACACTTGCCCGTGCATTTCACTGATCCGGACATCTTTCTCAAACTCCCCCAAACCCCCCGAAAAAAAAATAGGAGCGCTAAGTCCGGGAGGCGCCTGTGGCGGCCTCCAGCCTGGTCCCCTCGGCCTGTCTCCATACTTGGTTTGACTTAACTAGTTTTTCTCCGTTGCCTACTGCCAGTCTCTTTCGGGGGCATGCTTACCAATTTTACTCGCTAGAACTGGCCCAAAATTCAGAAGACAAAGGCTCTCAGAGGTGTGGGAGGGACGTGGACCGCCCATAGGCACTTCCTAAAGCACTTCCAAGCTGTCGCTTGGCCATCAGGCTCCATTAAGGACCGGGAGTCTGAGGTTGCCTAGAAACGGTAGCAGCACACCCGCCTCAGTTTTCCGCCTCCGACTTCCCCAGGGCATTTCCGGTTCCGGCTGCCGGCCGGAGAAGACATGGCGGCGTCTGCGTCGGCAGCTGCCGGGGAGGAGGACTGGTAACTTTGGGTCATGGGCTTTGGCTGGCTGCCTGGATCTGGTTCGAAGAACTAGACTGTCCGTACGGGGGGCATTTGGGATGGAGCGAGGGATAAGGGATGCCTTAGATGCTGACACCTCTGCCTAGGCGAGCTCCTGGACTGGGAACGGGAGGGTGAGGGGCGCTGATCTAAGTGAGGGGAGTCTGGGTCGGCTCGGGCCTGGCCAGCTGATGCCCCACCTGGTCGACTTGATCCCTCCTCCTTCGATCCCACCCCTCCCATTCTCTCCTGAAGTGAATTTTCTCAGGGGTCTGTGGATATCTGCTCATCAAATCTCCCCACCTTCCAGAACTGATGTCCTTCAGCTCCGGGCCCCTTTGCCCCTTGGCTCAACGTATTTCCACCTATGCTTTCTTCAGTCTTCTCTCCCAGGCAGCAGTAATAAGGACTATTGTTAGAGAGAAACCTTATAACCTACAAAAATACCTCCCTAGACCTTCTCGCAAGCATTCTCAACAAGAGACCAGAACCTGTAAGGGCTTTGGGATTTGGAAACAGGATAAATGTGGGTTCACTCTACATTTTATTAGCTGTCTGATGCTGACCAGGCCTCCTAGCTTCTGTGAGTCAGTGTCCTCAGCTGCAAAAGAAAAAAAAAAAAGTGGGTGTGGCATCTACTTCATAGAGTAGTTGAGAGGATCACTATGGATATGTAAGATACAAAAGCCTTTTTCATTAGTAAATCTGAGGTGTAGGACCTGAGGAGACTTGATGAATCCAAAGAAGTGAAGTGATTTGCCACAGGTACACAATTACTACTAGGAATTCAGTTCTATATGCTTTAGATCTCATATTCTTAGTACTAGGACACTCTACCATCCCTCTGCCCTGTTTTTTGACACCACCTTACCACCATCCCATATTGTGCCTGGTATCTAGGACCCAAGCCACAGCTAGAGTGGGAGAAGTGTTAAAATTGACTCTTGACTGAGGCAGCACCAGTGTTACATTAATTTAGGCTAAACCTCACTGGCCGGTCTTTTTTAGGACTATCTAGATTAGTGGTTTTCAGTGTTTGAGGAGAACATTGAGATTCTGAGAGGATACCTTGGACTGTGAGAGGCCATTAGTGAATTCAGCAGCTTGTGGTACTCCCAAACTTCCACTCCCATGTCAATCAGAACTATTCCACCGTTATCTGTGAGATGTAACACTTTATAATTTTATATTTTGATGTTTCTACCTAAGGCTTAAAAGGTAATAATAAAGAACCTATGATATAGCTTATGCTAGGGCAGCCCTGCTCTTTGTGAAGAAGGAACAATATGTAAGAGAACAAAGCATGTGTCTTTCCTTCTATCACCTGGATAGAGCTGTGGACTTAAATTATTCATCTTCAGTATCATTACTTAATGCTGTTTCTGTGACTAAGTTTGTGTCCTCTGATTTACATCAGAACCATGGATCGTAATTTACGCTGATCTAGGTCAACCAGACAGCTAAGGTTATAAACATCTCTACTGACTATATTATTCCCACTTTTCTTTTAAGTGAAAAGGGTATATACAAACAGAAAAGAGGACTTAGTCTAGTTACTATGGCCCAGATACTATAAGAGATTTTACATAAACAAATCATCTTTAATCTTCACAAAAACTCTGGTGTAGGTGGTATTATATATATGTGTAGACAGAGTAGGCTTACAGGAATAAGTGACTACCCAGATCACATAGCTGGTAAGTGATTGGTATATATTACTGACTCTAAGGTTGATGACTCTTCTCCTACAACACAGCCTTTAAACCACCAAGAGCTGTTCTGTTCATGTTAGTATCTCTTTAGAGAAGGCTTGGAGTGACTGATGTTGGCAGTATATTTAGACAGTAGCCAGGACACTGAGATCCAGGCTGAACAGTGATGTAGCAAAAGGCAGGATTAGTGTTGGTAACTGTGTTAGTAATGGATGGATGCCATATATTTGGGTCATAGAGATGGCCACTAAGGGATATTCAACTGTAGAATGAAACTTGATCAGGGAGTCAGGAAATGTGGCTCTGGTCCCAGTTCTGCCTATGTTAAGCCTTGGTTAGTCATTTCACTTTCTGGGACTCCATCCCATCTGTTAACATGAATGATGTCTAAGATTCTGATTCCAAGCTTCCTACCTGGCCACCGACAATGTAGGGAAACATTTTTCTCTAATTTTTAAGGAATTTAGCAAGAGAAAGCTATCAAGCAAATAGCCACTTCTCTACAAAGCCAGCCTTCATTTGCTTAACAGGCTTTGTTGGCAGGGAGAGCTGTAATAGTAAGTAAGTCTCCCCATGTCTTTTTAGGGTCCTTCCCTCTGAAGTCGAAGTGTTAGAGTCTATCTATCTGGATGAACTACAGGTGATTAAAGGAAATGGCAGGTATGTACTCAGCTAGGGGTGAATAGGAGTCCTCTTAGTAATGACCAGATTCTGTGCATAATCAGGTCTTAAGACACTGTGAGCCTTGATTCAGAGATAATGTTTCTCTTGTGTAGACAAAGGCTGTTCCTTAATTTCTTCAAAAGAAAGTGTCCAATGCTCACTTCCTCTGCCTGCTTTACTGTCTCACCCTGCTCCTCTCCTCAAGCCTCTGCTCTGTTACATCCTGGGTCTTCACTTCATCCACCTGCAGATCTTCACCATGGGAGATCTTCATCACTCTGCACCCTGCCACTGCAGAGGACCAAGATTCACAGTATGTTTGCTTTACTCTGGTGCTTCAGGTCCCAGTGCAGGTGAGGCTCTTACTATACAAAACAAGAAGGAAGGGAAGAGTCCCCAAAATTGGATTGCTTTAGCAGTAACTTGTTACTTTCCCCCACTAGTATCCCCAAGAGGTGCCACAGATATCTATCCGTAACCCCCGAGGACTCTCAGATGAGCAGATCCACAAGTAAGTTGAGCTGGTCATTAGCAGGGGAAGCTCAGCACACAGCTTTGCCTGGTGAAGGAGGAGGACAGGCCTAATATAAGCTTCTCTCTCTTCCAGGATCTCACAAGCACTGGGCCACGTGGCCAAGGCAGGACTGGGCACTGCCATGCTCTATGAACTAATTGAGGTAAGGTGTGCTGGCCTGGGAAAATGTTCTTCCCTTTAAACTACAGCCATTTTTTTCCCAAGGGACTTTATTTAGGTAAGCCATAAATTAATTTAGAAAGATGATAACTCTTACCCAAGTTGTCTATTCTAGCATCTCAACAGAAAAGTGCCTTTCCTCTTTAGCTGCCTTTATTCTTGCTTCATTTCACTGCATTTCTTGATTTCTTGGCACTAGCAACTGTGAGTAGAAAAGATGGGGATCTTCCCTGGGCAGGTAACCATTAGTGAACATTTGAAGGCCAGCCCGCCATTGGATTTGACAAGAAAAAGTTATGGTTTCTCTGCTCAAAGTTTTGTGTGGGATGTCATAGTGCATAGCTGTAATCCCAACAATTGGGTAAGCTAAGACAGGGGGATTGCAGTCTCAGTTTTGTACCCTGGTTAAGGAAACAATCTATACATTGCAACACATAGAGCCCCAAATTAATATACATAGATAACTTTCCCTGTTTAAGATTAAAAACACAATCAAGGTCAAGCTTGTTTTCCTCTACTTGGAATTTTTGAGAAAAATATTCACAAAAGAGTGAAGGTGGGTGGCCCAGAGGCAGGGAGTGGGCATGTTAGACCACTATGGCACTCCTAGGTCAGGCCTCCACAATGCAGCTTTGAACTCTGAAATTCCAGAGGATTAGCTATTCAAATAATGATGCAAATGCATATTTTATGGACCAACTGATGCCTTTTGATTTTTTTTGTCCATCTGGATTGTGTGTGCCTTGACTTTCTTCAAGCCAACTCTAGAACAAACTCATGGCACCATGGGGGAGTGATAATCGAGGAGTTTTAATCAAGAAAGGCCTCCCTTGTGGTTGTGCATGCTTGTAATTCTAAGTACATGGGAGGCTGAGGAAGAAGAAGTGCAAGTTTAAAGCCAGCCTGGACAACTTATCCAGACCCTGTCTCAAAAAATAAATAAAAGAGGCCTCACAGAAGATGAGTTTTAATTTAATGCCTTTTCTTTCCAAGGTATATTGTTTTCTTCTCCAAGATATATTAAAAGTGACTTTATGAGAGGGAAAACAATTAACTTGGAATTTGAAGCCAGGAAGATCCAGTTTGTCAGGGAGGGATGGTGATATGGAGGATTGTTTGTAAGCAAAGGGACCAGAACAGGAATTCATAAACATGAGGTAACACAGGACAAGAATGCAGAAACACAGGGCAACAAGCTGGTTTGTGGACATGGAGTCCTGCCACTCACTCTTGGAAGTAGCAGGCAGGCCTTGTTCACAGTTCTTGTCCCTGCCTCCATGTTGTCTTCTCTCATCTCAGAAAGGGAAAGAAATTCTCACAGATAACAACATCCCCCATGGCCAGTGTGTCATCTGTCTCTATGGCTTTCAGGTAGGTTTCTGGGGCCTGGGATGTGCTTACAGCAGATGAGGATTCTGAGTGAGTGCTAATGCAGTATCATACAACTGTGCCTCCTCCAGGACAAGGAAGCCTTTACCAAAACGCCCTGTTACCACTACTTCCACTGCCACTGTCTTGCTCGATATATCCAACACATGGAGCAAGAGCTGAAGGCTCAAGGACAGGAGCAGGAACAGGAACGGCAGCATGCTGCCACCAAACAGGTAGGTCTGGCCAGTGCCTGTCTCACCTGACACCCTTAGACTTTGACCTATTTCCACTCCTCTGCTCTAATGGCTTTCATCTTTTTAGAATCATGGATACTTTTGATATGAGTGAAATCTTACTCCTGTCCAGAAAAAAGGATATCTTTATGTATACTTATATGTTGCATGCAATTTCTAGGGGTCCCCAGACCTCTTCGGGGAAGTCCTTCCTTTGTTCCCCCTCATTGCCAAATAGGTATGCCTGTGCCTTTTATTCCCAATTTTCTGCATATTAGTTTGGCTGGCTGGAAGCTGGTGTGATTTCTCCTCTTGTTTTAGAAAGCAGTCGGTGTGCAGTGTCCTGTGTGCAGAGAGCCTCTCGTGTATGATCTTGCATCACTGAAAGCAGCCCCTGAACCCCAACAACCCATGGTAAGGGGATTCCCTTCTAATCTGAGCCAGGAATGATGGCATTCTGTAAGGCAGGAGGAAGGGCATCTTGTCTCCAATGAATGGGATCTTTGGAATGGGATCTTTGATCTGCTTAGGACTGTCTGCAAAACCACAAGCCTACACTGGCTTGTGAGGGACAAGATCAAAAACCTTGTGTCGTTCTCCTGAGGCCAACCTGAAAGAATAGAGGTTCAAGTCTGCTGCCTTTTCCTGTTTGTTCTTTCTTCCCTGCCATTCTGCTTCCTTCCTCCAGGAGTTGTACCAACCTAGCGCAGAGAGCTTGCGTCAGCAGGAAGAGCTAAAGCGACTTTATCAGAGGCAGCAGGAACGGGGTGGCATCATTGACCTTGAGGCTGAGCGGAACCGGTATTTCATCAGCCTTCAGCAGGTAAGGGAAGGGTTTCCCATTTGTCGCCCAACATCACCAACCCTCCTACAAATGCCCCTGCACCATGGCCCTAGGGTGTTCTGCTCAGTTGTTCCAGGCTGGTGGTGGCTGGCTAATAGTGGGAGAGGAGCCTGAAGTTCCCTGTTTGGAGGAGCGTCATCTCCCTTAGTGCGTCTCTTCTTTCTAGCCTCCTGCCCCTGTGGAAGCTGAGTCAGCCGTGGATGTTTCCAGAGGATTCCACCCACCTAATGCCCTTGCCACAGAACAGTCCAACTCACCAGCTGCCCAGCCAACCCTGCCAACTCCTCTTTCTATGGCTACCCAGTATACGTGTGAGAAGTTCCCAGGGACTGGGCCAAATCAACAGAGGTTGGGTGAGACCCAGAAAGCTACTCTAGATACCCCCGGGTCCAGTCAAAGCCCCTGGCGACAGCCTAGTCGGAGGCACCTGAAGGGAGGGGAGTGCTGTGCTCCCAAAGATACCAGTGATTCCCAGGAACTACCACCTCCTGAGAGGCCCCTCAAAGAGCCTTTGGACCTAAAGCTGGAATCCCATAACCAAGGGGTTGAAGGTCCGCCCCAAGAGAAGGGGCCTGGCAGCTGGCAGGGTCCCCCACCCCGCAGGACTCGGGACTTTGCTCGCTGGGAGCGCTCCAAAGGCCGGACAGCGGGTTCTTCCTACCCTCGCCTGCCTCGGGGTCAGGGAGCATACCGGCCTGGTACTCGGAGGGAGCCCCTGGGCCTGGAATCTGAAGATGGTTCCTAGCACTATTGTGGGGGGACAGGGAATTGGGGGTGGATGGGAAGCAATAAAGAAATTAAGCCTTGTTCATTTTCTTTCTCAGTAGTGTCTAACCTGTAATGTACGATTCTCTTTCTGAGTTCCTAGCAAGATTGGGGTATGACAGTGTAGCCCCTACCTTCATTCTTAATTATCCCAAGAAATCAGGGTGAAAAGGGTTCGGCTCCTCTACTGTAATGAGTTTCAGAGGAAACTAGTAGGAGGTCGACATTTGGGCGGAATTTTTAGAAAGCACTATAACATAACCCACTGTGTATTATTTTTTTTTAATATTTATTTTTTAATTATAGGTGGACACAATATCTTATATTTATGTGGTGCTGGAGAATTGAACCCAGTGCCTCATGCATGTTAGGCAAGCACTCTACCTCTGAGCCATAACCCCAGCCCCCCCACTATGTATTCGACCATGTTAATACATGTTCCTCACTTGGATGCCCTTAGATGGAGGCATGTATCTTCCAATTTAGGGTCTCTTCCTCCTCTCTTAGGCTACACCCCACATCATCTGTATAGGTTTTGGAATGATTAACCCTTATATAGTCCCCTGTGATTGCAGCCCTTGTTTTGTATTAAGTACCAATCTGAGAGAGGGAGAAAGAGTCAGGGACCAGAGTAGTATGGCAAGTGTTTATTGATTTCCTCTAGGAGGAGAGCCCAGCACAGCCTGGCTGATTACCTCAGAGACTCGGTATTCTGAATTGCCCCTGTGGGGTCATTTTTATACAACATGAAGTAGCCCTGCACTTGGGCTGGACTGATCTGGGTTGTAGCTTGAAGGACATGATCTGCAAAGGTTTCAGCTAAAGAAGGTGCTTGCCCTGGATAGAACCTCTGGAACATCTGGATCAGCTGCCAGTGTGAACAGTAGCCCACGTACTCCTTCAGATCTACTCTCCCAGGGCGTATCAGGGCAGGGTCCAGCCTAGGAGGAGGAGAGTCACAAGCAACAGTCTCACTAGCACACCAAAAATGATGGTCTCCTCAATTTCCTAATTCTCCCAAGACATGGAATGGATTCTTCCCTCACTCCTTACCTATCAACATGGTTGGTGGTCATGAACACAATGCGTGCCTCAGTGGAAGCCACTCCATCCAAGGCATTGAGCAATCCACTGAAGGTAAGACGACCTAGACCTTGGTACTTCACAGGGTCTTGAAAAGACAGAAAAGCATGGTCATAACCTTGCTTAAAATTAGCACCTCCTCCATTCACACCACAGTCCCTGACTCTAGTGCCTCACAGCCAACCCTAGGCATCCTGTCAGCCCTGTGGAATTCCATGTCCTCCCATTCCTCATACTCCTACACCTCACTATCCTCATTGAGAACCATCCCCCTTCCCTAACACCCTCACTTACTCTCTGCAGCCAAGTCTCGACTGAGAAAAGCAGCATCCACATCCTCCAGGAGCACCAGACTTTGCTGTGGAGCCACACTCAGCAGGTAATTGAGCCGGTCATCAGAGAGGCTAGAGTCTGTGAGACTCAGCAGGCAGATGCTATGTTCCAGTTCCCCAGCCAGGGCTGTGCTGTGAACATGAGGAGGTGGTAGGCAACTTGGGGACTATTCCTGGGTCCAGACCCTTTCCTCCTGTTGTGGGAGGTGTATCTCGGAGGCCCAATTCTCCCACTCCTTCCACATATCACATGCTTTTCCTGGCTCCTGGTCCCCAGATTCATTCCACTCTCCAGCCTCTTCTGCCCAGTTTTTCTACAAAGGCTGTTTTGCAGACTTGAGTGAAATTTTGACTACTCACATAAAACTGCTCTTTCCACAACCAGGGGGTCCATAAAGCAGGTAGCCACGTCTATAGGGAATACCTAGGGATACAGCCAAGATAAATAAGACCTAAAGTGAATTATATACCCTGTCTCACATGTCCACTTTGTTCCTAGCTGTGCCTCTTATTGGCCTGATGGCCTTGGTATGAAAAAAAAAATCATAGGCAACTTTTCTTGCCCCTTCTTGTCTGGGAATTGAGCTAGAGGTTTACATCATTTCCTGGCCAAAGACCAGCCTGTCTGCCTTAACAATATGGTTAGAAATAGCCTATCCCAGACCTAAGCTACTTCTCACCTCTGTCAATGTACCACTTGGGGTTATCAATGAATTCCCGGATGTCTCTGACAATTCGGTCAGCCAGACCATGCTGTAGAACCACAGAATTCAGTGGCCGGCGGCGGCGTGGATAGCCAAAGGGGCGCCATTCAGAGCCCACAGCTGTGTACATCACGGTCTTTCCTTCCTCCTGTTGCAAGGCTAGCTCTCGAGCTGTAAAAGGGGAGATAAGACAATGCCAATAATTCTCTCCAACATGGCTGTTCTTCAGTTAGACAGAACTATGCAATAAAGGCCTCCTAGCCCCATGTTCCCAAGGACTCACATCCTCTTATTCTTCCTCCCCAAACTGCTCTTCCTCCAATATCCAATGTCCCCATCCCTATAGCGCCCCCCCCCCCCATTACAGCCTGCCTGTGCCATCCCACACCTTCCTCCAGGATGTTGAAGAAAATCTTGCGGTCAGTGCCCAAAGCTGTGAAGGTGACAGATTCCCAAGGAGTCCCGGTCTGCAAGTCTATCATCTGCATTTCTCGACTTCGTTTTACCTGGATCCATTTGCCCTGATACCTGAATAAGAATGGTTAAAACACGGGGTGAGTGAAGGAAAATGATAAAATCCAGCTCTCTATTCTTATATCAGAGCCCTCCCTGGTTCCCAGTCTTACCAGATAAAGTGGTTTCCAGGGCTGGGAACAAATTCAAACTTGGTGGAGATCCGACCACTCTCGTGCTGAAGGTATGAAGTTTCCACGCTGAGGTGCTGAGTACGGGTACTGTGGCGGGTAAGCCAGCTAAGCAACCAAGCATAGCTCCTGTCTCGAGCAGGGACTTCCAGTGTGATCATGTAATGGCGCCGGAATGCCACCAGGCCCAATTGGGCACCCTTTCGGGCCAGGGCTAGGGCTGTGCCCACACCAACCAGGCCAAATCCAGCCCCAAAGTAGGGATTGTCCTTCAGGGCCAGAACAAAGTCTGAAAGTGGCATCTTGAATGGGAAACAAAGAAGTCTACAGGCTCTCAGGCCCTATTGAAAGCTAGGGGTAGAGATGGGACAAAGCACAAAATTAGTTTAGAATCAGACTCCATTGAATGTCCCCAAACCTGCCCCACTCCCTTCTCCAGAAGTAGCAAGGACAGGTCAACAGTACTATATGTTTCAATATCCTTTTTCAGGGTAGGGGTAGTGTTGGAATGCAGACCCTTCACTCCATTTTGTCCTCCCATCAGCCTGCTTATATCTCATTTCCTGTCAGAGGACCATGTTTGGAAATTCCTTAAGCTCGAGAGAGCAATATTACCTGATTCACATCAGGATAATGGGTGGGTAGAATTTTTGTGGTCCATGGAACAAGCTGAGAATTTTTTTTAAAGTCAGAGGTTGGGGACACTAGCTGGAGTCAGCAGCAGTGGCGCTTCCACTAACTTGTCAGTGACCACATGCTTTACTTACCATGCATGAATAACATTCTTCAAATACCCTCTCTGTCCCCCACACATCCAATTCCTAAAGTCCTGTTTAGAGTTGAGACTTTTATTACTTCCCACCTAAACTTTCCCTTTAAAATTAAATTTTACTTCCGGAAGTGGCATTTTAATGGATCTTCAACTCTTGTATCACCAAACAGCTGCAAAGATCCAGATCGTTCATCATAAGGATCAGAATTCTCCCTACTCCAGCACTTTCAGTGGTTGGTTTCCAATAGATCCCTGAATTGGGTACAAACTCCTCAGTCTGGTACTCAAAAGCCTTCACAACAGCCACCCACCTACCTTTCTTGGCTTAACTCCTAATACCCTTATCCAACAAATAAGCAAAACACCTCCCACCTCCTTCCTCAAGCAATTCTCCCTGCATTTTCCCCAAATGAAATCCTGCCCACCTGCTATTTCGCCCATGGAGTCTTTCCCAAATTCAACTTAATAAGATTTGACTAGGTCTAATTGTAGATAATAAGATCATGAAGCCGGCAGTGGTGGCGCACACCTGTAATTCTAGCGACTGGGCAAGATAAGGCAGGAGGATCTCAAGTTCAAGGCCAGCCTCAGCAACTTATGGAGATCCTAAGCAACTGGTGGAGAACCCTGTCTCAAAAAATCAAAAGGGCTGGGGATATAGCTCAGTGGTAAAGTGCCCCTGGGTTCAATTATCAGCGCCGGGAAAAAATCATGAGGAATGGGAAGCCAAATAGTTTTTAGCACTCTTCCGACACCCCACCTCACTCCATTCCTGCCACTTTGCCCTGCCCCTGGCACGCAGAGCAGCGAATTGACAGCAGGGACCTCGGTTGAGGCTCAGAATGGGATCCAGAATTCCAAAACACCCATGGAAGATCATAAACAAAGCTCTCCTCTCTCGCGGTCCAGACACCCAGAAACCCTACCGAACCCCTCTCTACACCAAGGCTCGAGCCTCCAGGAACGTGGTTTGGAGTTCTCAGTCACTCCACCCCCTTACCGCCATGACTCTCTGGCCCTTCGTCTCGATGGTATCGCCCAGCCGAAATTTGGGGAAGCGCCGTTCGGTCCCGCCCCCCGAATTTTTTAATCTACTTCCTGCCACGCCCACCAAGAACTTCTTGCCACTCTGCCCCACAACTCTCGATGGTCCTCCTTTGGCTTCAGGGAAAAGGTGGAGAGAAGAGAGAAAACCATAGAGTACCCACCAGCCAACAAGAGGTAGATAGAGTGGCCGCCATATGCCCGACGTCCTAGAGGCGGCTGGGCCGGGGGCGGTAGTACAAAAGGAGCCCTGGGAGGTCACTCCAGCCGCTTTCTACCATAGAGATGCGGTTTCTGCTGGCGGTGGGTCTAGAGGTGAGTGAGCAGCTGCGAGGCGGGATCTGGGGGGAGTTTGGGTGGAGAGAGCTGGAGGCAAAAGTTTCTCGAGCTCCAGGATGGAAGTGGACCTGGACAGTGGGGACCCGTGGGAGGAGGTGCTGAAAGAAACACGCCAACGAGGGGGGCCCCTGCGCATCTCAGCGGCCGCTCTGCGCCTCAGCCGCGTCACCACTCTGGACCCCACCCGGGTACCCGCTACCGCTCCTCAGGACCACAGTCATGGTGGTGCTCCATCCCAAACCTTGCAGGTTACAAAACATCTTTCCCGTTCTGTGGCTCTTGTGCGCCAGCTCCCGTCCAACAGTGTGGATGCTGTCATCGCCTCCACTTTTCAGAGAGGAAAGCTGAGGCCCAGAGAAGCGTGGGGACTGCATCTGTCCAGGGCCACGCAGTGAGTCCGCCCAGCGGCAGGTGGGAACCCGTATACTTAGTGGCTCCTTGTTTCCCCAAGCCTTTCCTCTCCCTTAATTTGACCTTCCTTTTCCTCACTGCCATTGCCCGGAAGACAGATTCCCTTCGCGCCTCTCTCTCCCCCCCCCCCCCGCCCCGCCTTCCTGCGGGTGAAGGTTCTCAGTGTAGACAGCGCCAAGTCCTCTTGGCTCTCCCCTGAGGCGGTGTACTGCCGAGCCAGAAGATCTCCCAGAGCCCAGTTAACGGGCAGTAAGCAAGCGGAGGCCGGTTTCCAAAGATATTCCTTCGGACCTCAGAAGTGCACCTCCCTGTCACCTTTGTGATCTGTTGTTTTGAGTTGAGTCTGACTCAATTTCATGAAATGATTGTCATTCTTATAAATTACAAAAATTACTTGGCTTAAAATTCGTGTGTAACGGGATATACAGTTTAATTGCTATTGGTTTCTTGGTTGTATTCCAGTTTGAGACCTTAATGAGTTTGAAATTTCTTGGTGTGTTTCTTTATGTGGGGAACCATTGGTTTCATACCTTGGTACTATATACTTAACTTTACTCTGATGTCCGTCCCTCTCAGTGGTTCTTCACTAGTATCTACTTGTCTGACTTGCATAGTTTATTGGTGGTTTGTGTTCATTGAAGTGATGTCAGTAAAATCTACTCAGAAAGTTCCACATCAGGAAGAGAAACTGATCGGTAAACAACAGTGCAGTGTGACAGAGTTTCTGATATGTACAATGTACCATCAGGACCCCTGAAGACTGAGAATAAGAGTGTCAGGAAGTCTTCAGAATGGAAATGACATTTGTGTAGCTTCTTTTTTTAAATTTTTTTTTAGTTTACATGGACACAATATCTTTTATTTATTCATTTTTATGTGGTCTGAGGATCGAACCCATTACCTCACGCATGTGAGGCAAGTGCTCTACCACTGAGCCACAACCCCAGCCCTGTGTAGCTTCTTAAAGGACAGTAAGGCACTGACTAGCCAGAGAAGAGATTGAAAAAGTGCATCAAGCTGAGAGGTAAAAAGGTATGCGAATAAAAGAGAGTATGGTGCCTCCAGAGAATGGCACATCATCAGGTTCAGAGGTCTATTAAGGGCAGAGGTGGAAACCATGCCTGGAGAAATCAGCAAGAACCAGATTGAGATAGAAAGGCCCTATAACCTCACTGAGGAATGAGAGCATCAAGAAGCAAAAGGGAACTGGGCATGGTGGCTCATGCCTGTAATCCCAGAGGCTCAGGAGGCTGAGGGAGGAGAATTGTGAGTTCAAAACCAGCCATAACAAGTTGGCAAGACACTAAGCAACTCAGTGAGACCCTTTTTTTTAAAGGGCTGGGGATGTGCACATGTTCAGTGGTTAAACACCTGTGGATTCAATCCCCAGTACCAAAAAAAAAAAAAAAGGAAAGGGCATTTGAAATCCTTTGGCCCCACCCAATTTTGAAAACTAAAACTTAGTTTAAGATTTGACTCACTTCGTATCAAGAAACATAACCTGATATGTTTCTTATGTTGGCCAAAACTTGTTGGCTTTCTCCTAATATTGACTCTATTATACATACATTTTTATGTAAACTAAATCTTTTTTAAATTAATGTTTATATATAACAGCAGAATGCATTATAATTCTTATTACACATATAAAGCACAATTTTTCATATCTCTAGTTGTATACAAAGTATATTCACACCAATTCGTGTGTTCATACATGTACTTTGGATAATAATGTCCATCACATTCCACCATCATTTCTAACCCTATGACCCTATTATATTTTTTTAAAATTTGTTTTAGTTGTAGTTGGACACAATATCTATTTTATTTATTTATTTTTATGTGGTGCTAAGGATTGAACCCAGTGCCTCACGAATGCAAGGCAAGTGCTCTACCACTGAGCTACAACCCCAGTCCATTGACCCTATTATTTTTATACATTTTGTTCTGAACATGCTGCCATAAAGAAAATGCCTAAGTTGGAGGGCACTGGGCTGTGTACACACACAAACTGGGAAAAAAGTGAGAGCTCTAACCACATTTTGTTTTTCTTTTGGTTGGTTTGTCAGCATTTAAGAGGCCACAGCACACAAATCAATGGTGATGACAGACCCTGTGTTGGACTCACAGCCAGCCAACAGTACTGTGGAGATGGATGGACTGTGCCCTGAGCTATTGCTGATCCCCCCACCTCTCTCTGACCGTGGAATTCTGGGACCTGTCCAGAGCACCTGTCCTTCTGGGGACACTGCACCTTTGCCTGCTGACCCAGACTGCCTGCTGGTAGAGGCCACAGCTAATGAAGAGGGCCCAGGGAACATGGAGATCATAGTGGAAACAGTAGCTGGAACCCTATCCACAGGAGCTCCTGAAGAGACCCCAGGTACAAAGAGTTGCTAGCAGGCTAGTGGGACAGGCAGCCTTGAGGTTTTGTGTGTTCTATTTTTATCCTTCTGTATGGATGTGATTGGAGCATAAAATAGTATGCTATTTTTATACTTTGAGATGTTGTATTTTGGTTTGCAATTGGAGCCCGATGATGGAAGGCTGGCAGATTACTGCACAATCTTGAACCAAGCTTTTGGCAAAGTCTCTCCTCTAAGGGATTCTTGTCTGCTAGGCAGGATCCACAAGGGAAGACCTTTCTGACACCTGCCCGATCCTGGCTTGTCCTTACTCTTAACAATCTTCACAGATTCTTTACCCATATTGACCTTACACCCAGAAACTGCAGCCAGGGATTAGGCAAAAGCCTAGCCTGCCTCCCACCCTGTAGTTGGCAGGGCTTTCCAAAGGTAACTGGTATTTCCTTGCTCTAACTTCCTGTGTATAATGTACTTCACTCATTCAAAGCATGTTAAGAGGAAGGGTTGAGCTGGGCATGGTGGTACACATGGCTAACGCAGGAAGATTGAAAGTTTGAGGCCCATGTGGGCAACTTGTTGACCCTGACTCAAAAATAAAATTAAAAACGGGGCTGGGGATGTAACTCAGTTGTAGAGGTCTTGCCTGGCATGTTCAAGGCCCCAGATTCAAGTCTCCAAAAGTACTACAAATATAACTACAGTTGAGCATTTTTATCCTAGGAGAAAGATTCTCCCCCTTTTCCTACAACTTCCTATTTTTCTGAAACTTACCTATTTTTTGACTGTCATCCTCTAGCTGTAGTTTTCACCACTTCCTTGGCAATGTAATGTAGTGACAAAGAATACTGGGAAAGATTGGCTAATTTGACCATATAGTGTTTCTAACCTTCTCTGCAGTGAAACAACAACAACAAACCAAAAATTGGTAATATATAAAAAAGAGTTAATATCTTTAAAATTCAAAGATCTGCACAATAAGAAAAATAGTTTTCAAGAAAGCAAAAAAGACCCAGCTATTCCCCTTCTCGGTCTATTCCCTAAAGACCTAAAAAGAGCATGCTACAGGGACACTGCTACATCGATGTTCATAGCAGCACAATTCACAATAGCTAGACTGTGGAACCAACCTAGATGCCCTTCAATGGATGAATGGATAAAAAAAATGTGGCATTTATACACAATGGAGTATTACTCTGCATTAAAAAATGACAAAATCATAGAATTTACAGGGAAATGGATGGCATTAGAGCAGATTATGCTAAGTGAAGCTAGCCAATCCCTAAAAAACAAATGCCAAATGTCTTCTTTGATATAAGGAGAGTAACTAAGAACAGAGTAGGGTCGAAGAGCATGAGAAAAAGATTAACATTAAACAGGGATGAGAGGTGGGAGGGAAAGGGAGAGAGAAGGGAAAATGCATGGAAATGGAAGGAGACCCTCAGAGTTATACAAAAGTACATACAAGAGGAAGTGAGGGGAAGGGGAAAAATAATATAAGGGGGACAAACGAATGTCAGTAGAGGGGGCAGAGAGAGAAGAGGGGAGGGGAGGGGAGGGGAGGGGGATAGTAGAGGATAGGAAAGGCAGCAGAATACAACAGACACTAGTATGGCAATATGTAAATCAATGGATGTGTAACTGATGTGATTCTGCAATCTGTATATGGGGTAAAAATGGGAGCTCATAACCCACTTGAATCAAATTGTGAAATATGATATATCAAGAACTATGTAATGTTTTGAACAGCCAAC